AACACATATTGATATTGTAATTTAATGTGGACCAATATGAAAATTCAACGTCATTCATGCATGTATAAATAATAAAAAGAAATGTAAATTTATAATTTGTGATGAAATAATGGCCAATAAAAAGTTTTTCTTTATTATATTAAAGTTATATTCCCAATATTATATATGTCATAATTTTTAAAGGGATGTCAACTATCCAGGATCATCACGGGTTTTAAAGGTATAACTAATAAATTTGGGTTTTAAGTAGGTATGTACCGATATCACTTTTTGGAGGCCCGATCCGATATTCCCGATATTAAATTGATATCGACCGATTACCGATCCGATATCATTTCTAATTTTTATGTCATTTATTTAAATATATTATAATGATCAGTTATAGTTTATATTCAATTCTATTGCAATTCTAAAAGTATATAAAATATTTTTATTGTTAAATAACTTTTATATAAGTAATAAGTAACATTAATCTATATATATAATAAATAATAAACAAATATATTATGAAATTAGAATAAATATTTTAAACAATATTTAACATTAATAAATCGAAGATTTCTTATTAGAAATACCAAAATTTACTTATTTATCAGAAATCAGTTACGTTTACGGCGATGTGTCAAGTCAATATCACCAAATTCACTAAAAACAGATTCTGAAGAGATTATCGCACACTTTTATAAACAGAATGCGCAAAAAAATAACAATATGGCAGAATGTTTATTAATTAATTATTAATATTAAAAAAATATGGATTTCGATTATATTTATAAAAATAAATGATTTTAGATATAACTTTTTTTTTAAAATTTTTAACATTTTATTTTTGTTAAAGATGCCATTTTATATCGAATCTGATGGGCAAATTAGAAGTCAGTAGTTTGTCTAGGACTACCACTAATGACAATATAAAGATGTTTATGATTGACTTATTTTTATAATTATATGACAGATTTAAGTGACAACAAGTACTTCCAGTTCCAGGTGATATACGTGATATAGATGAACCCTAATTAATTTAACATATTTGACGATTTATTTTTATTTATTTACTTAGAATTAACACCTATATATAAAAAAATTTCAAAAATCTAAAAATAAAACGTGAAAGGATAATAGATACCCCGTATGTTTTTCATAAACTTAAATTTTCATTTTTTTAAATTTCGCATTAATTAAAAACAAAATGATTTTTTTCTTAAATATTAATTTTTACCTTATAAATATATGTAAAGAATAAAATTACGCTAAAACATTTTAGAAAAATTGCTTTGTCCATTTTTTATAGCACTTCAATTTTTTATGGACAAATTTTCCCCGAGTATGACCAAGAATATTAACATTGGGGTTACGAGTACAGATATATTTATTTTCAAAATTTGATTATAATAAAAAATATATACAATAATAAAAAATGAATACTTTCAATCTAAAGATATTAAGATTATATTTTACCCATATATCGATATTTTGTTATGATAAATTATTCCTGACCCCCCAAGACCTAGACCCGCCCTCTATCAGTGATTATTATTATTACAATAAAAAAATATTTAATTATCAACTTGTTTATTAAATCGTTACACGACACGACCCCGGGTCTGGACCTAGGGTCGGCCTGAGCACATAAAAGGATCGTAAATTTTACAAGCAAATTAAGAACACTAGACTCAAGTTCAGAGAACTATTTGTCCTCTAGTCGACAACTATATATTTTGTATTCACAACTCAAGTTGGAGGTCTAAATTAAAAAGTAAATAACAACAAATATCTTAAATAATAATATCTAATTTGAAATATTCGTCCTCTAATCGACTCAAGTTCATAAAATATTCGTCCTCTAGTCGACTGACCCAAAACTTGACTCAGTTTTCGACTCAGTCGACTCGACTCAGTCGATTAACAACACTACTTTTGATATTAAATATAGCAACAATTTAAATTCAATTATTTAACGCCATCTATTTTTTTAAGTGAAAATGATATTTATATTTAATCTTCATATTATTCATCCCACAATATCTTTAAAAGATATTTTCTGATGTCCTTATCAATATTTTATAGTTTTCTGTAAAATATATAATTCGCTATATTGGTAAAAATTACTTGATTGTCATTTGATAATTAGATATACTGTAAATCTACGACATATAATATTCCACTGTTTGTATTGTGCTTTAATATTTTTTTAATTTATGACTTAATTTTATCAATAGTTTTATAATTATATTTTACTTTACTCATTTTATAAAAAATTATATTTGATATATTATATTATTTAGTAATTTTATGGATCTATTATTAATAATTATAATACATTTCACTTCTGTCTTAAGACTTATTTTTGGCTTATATTCCATTTATTAAAAAACATTTTTGGTTCATTTTACATATTTATAAATTTATTTTCCCAAAAATCTATAAATTATGATGAATAGTTTTATAAAAAAATATCAACTTTTACATTCTTTCTTTTAAATTATAATTTAAGATATATGCATACATATTTGAGGGTCAGGGAGTGGGGGGAGAGCTAAGGGGGATATTTTTTTATTAGCTAAAAATGATATTTACAAAAAGTGATCAATTTCTGAAGGGGGAAGACTTTCCCCTTGCCCCCCCCCTGGCTACGCCTATGAACTCAATATTCTATCCAGAAAAATATTATTCAAGTTTATAAATTTTTATTAATAGAGTGCACAAATATTGAACATGTATTCGCGAAATCTCGAGGCTTTGGACAATATTTTCTCAGCCGTTTTTAAAAATGGACTCTCATCGAGTTATTTAACAACACTACTATTAATATAAGAATGGTTCATTTCGGAAATTAATTGCCATTCAAAATCCTGACTTCAATAAACAAAGATAATATATAAAGATTTTCAAAGATATTTATTATATATTTTTAAATGTTTAATATTGAATTTTGCGTTTATATTAATTAAAATTTATACAAATAAATAGTGCTTAATTTGTACTCTTTTGTTAAGCAATTATTTGTACACTACAAGATTGACGTTTCATTAATTAAAAGTGCCCTAACATAGGAGTAAGCTGCAGCGCCATTTTGTGGTTTGCACGTCTAGCATCTTATTTAATATATGAATCCACATTATTATTGAATACTCTACAGCTGATTCCCATGTATGGACACCTTTAAATGCAGTTACTGTATGAATCGTTGATCTAAGAGTATATATACATCAGAGTTGTTAAAGGATCTAGATATAAAAATGTGGTATCTGTATCTGTATCTAGATAGATTTTTGAATAAAATATCGGTATATAGATATTATTTTAGACGATGTATCTGTATCTAGATACATTTAAAAAGTATCTTTTAACAACTCTGATATACATCATTGTTGTTATGTTCGCTATCTCTACAATTTAAACTAATTTTATCCCTTCATATTATTTTTTATTGTAATATATCATTATAAATTGAGGCATTGTAATATATCATTATAAATTGAGCATGCATATACTCTCAAATTGGGCAAAACTAGATTTATTCATTACACTGGTAAAAGGAAACAATCAAAATAATGTAAAAATAATCTCAGTGAGAAATTGAGTCACAGCCCAAAAAGAGGGTTCAAAATAAACAAATTTGTGTGCACATTTATTTAATGGGTAGACCTGTATAATATATCTAATACATTTAAATCCAAAATAAGGGAATTTCTGTTGTTTCTATTTCTGATAAAGGAATGTTACACATGTAGACCTCTGCAAATCCGGGCTTTTTAAGAATAATTTCGGCTCAAAATTTATCTCGGATAATGTATTAAAAAAATAGATAGTGCTATATATAAACCAATATCCTTTATTTTATTGTTTAAAACCATTTTAAGGCAATATAATTAGTTTATAGTATTATTATGTGAATTTTATCATCCATATATAACGCCATCTATACATTTTTATTCACATCATTTATATTTTAAGAAAATTGTGCAGCCACGCTAATTAGTAAAAATAGTTTACGAGTGACCATGTTTTCAATTTTTTTCCCCTCAGTACCAATCATTGACTCAGTTAAAAATATATAATTAAATAATCAATATTAGTTTTTAATAACTAATTATTTATCAGCGATAAATGGTAAAAAAAATTTTTACCACAGATTCCCATTATCTCAAATAATACACTTGCTAAGATTTCATTTTTAATCTAACTAGAACAAATAAGACGTGCCTACAATTATGTGAGGTATTTGATTTGATATTAAATGAGAGTAGGCAGATGTAAACTAATTTGAAATGCAAAAGGTTACATCACGAATAAGTTAAGAAAACCGAAATAAATAAAATATATGGAAAAATTAAATGTTAGTGCTTTAGAAATTGAAAGGACATGACTCAAGTCTGTAAAAATGAAAGCTGAAGGAAGATTATTTGCTAAATTAGATTGATGATGGAAATGATAAAAACAATGGCGTAGAGTTGAATGCCTGACATGTACAACTCGATTGGAAAATAGTATTTTCGAGAAGAATTTAAGGATAAGATATAGAAATGGAAAAAGACAAATACTGGAAAACCACGATGATTATCGAAGAAGGACGGAATCTGCTGAAGTGAATTGCCAGATAAAAAACATTTTTGTATGGAAAAGCATGCATGAGGTCGAGCGCGCGCGATGAACATGGTTAGTAAGTGTCTGGGAAGAGCGAGATGTGAAAATTTTTCTTCTTGGTTTGAAAGAAGTTAATCCAAAGTAGTCTAAGAAGTTGCACCGTGGATATATAATTTATCATTGGGAGGCAGATAAATGCAAAACTGAGGATTAGAAGTTTGATAGAAACTACTCTAAATATAAATAGACTTTGCTTTTCAAACTATAAATTTTTTTGTAAATATATCGAAATTTGACTTTTTAAAAAATAGAAGTTTCAACCAAACAAACTCAGTCTTTATTACACGGAATAATATAGTACATAAACACACGTAAATATAAAAAAAAATTGATTTATATATTTCGTTTCTTAAAAAAAAAAATTGATCATAATTTAATATTATTACAATATGGTTTATTTATATATAAATTCGCTAAATATGAAAATAAGGATGTGTACAGTCAAATTCACCGAAATTTTAAAAGATAAATTGAACGAAAATGGAGGACTAGCATTATAGTGAAAAATAATCTTTAAGAAATTTGGAAAAGACGTAATAAAAAATTGAACATGGCGGATTCTTTAACATGTTTTTACTATATCATTACAATGAATGGCCGTATAAGTTTATTTTATGAAAATTTGCCTTTAAACCTGTAGATAAATAAGGCTTATTTGCCGTTTTTTCATAAAAAAAAATACTCAATTTCTTAAAAATATTCTTATCATACAAGTAGTAAATTATTTTTCAAAATTGTAATGGGATATACCTATAAAAGAAGGTAATATAGATATACTAAATATAGTACAAAAAAGGAAGAAAAGTAAAGAATCGTTATCAACATGATCATTATGTATAAAATCCAAATCTTGATGGAATAAATATAATTTGTATTGTTGCAGTCATTTTTTACACATTTTCTTCTCAAACTACATAGGCGTCTTTTTCAGACTACGTGCCTAAGACCAGCGGTGAAAGAAGCCGAGAGTGCTACAGAAACGGGCACTGTCACTATCCAAGCCGCTACGATATTCCCGAAAAGTTTCCAATCGACGGATTTTTTGGCCCTCAAGTAACCCACAAATACTATACTCCCTACTTTGCAATGAGTAGTGCTGATGGGAATTCCCATGTTAGAGGCTAACAGGACTGTAAGGGCGGCTCCTATTTCAATGGTGAAACCGCTGTTTTTTGTTTTATATATTTTGGATATTGTTTATAAAAATTTTGTAATTTATAAGGTTTAATTATGTTATTCCATAAAGATTAAATAAATTTCCTTTTCATAAAAAAAATTATATAAAAAACCTCACGGGCGTGATAGTAGTCAAATCCTTGCCCATAGTTTCCATGACCCTCTGACCGAAAAGCCAAAGTCCTATGGAGATTCCTAAGCCACCGTATAGCAATATCCATAAGGGAGGTTCACCGATCTGGGCCACACTGCCTGTTTTGCTTACTTCCCAAAGCGCTATAAGCGGACCGATGGAGTTGCTTATAAATTTAAAAAATGATTATTTACAATATAATATGGTTTTAAACCTCAATTAGTGGGGTTGCTCAAGTGTGTTCCTTTTTAGGCTAGTCTTATCAGTGCCGAAAGAATAAAGATTTTTAAACCAACTCGTTCTTCCTATAATTTCATTAACGAATTAATCATATCAAAACTTGCTTTGGAATAAATAAACTCTTCCCAAATGATTCAAAGAGGGGTGGGGGATCAGATTGTTAAATATTATACATGCCAGAGGGAAAATGTTAATAAAAATAATTAAACAGTAATATCAAACCTAACATCGTTACCTCCATGAGCGAATGCTCCAAAAGCTCCGGTCAATATTTGCAAGAAGGAGAAGAGCTTGGAAACGCCTTTTACGTTTCCATGAGGATTATCTTCTGTCCCAGTAAGAGGAATGGCCAGCTTGGAATCGATAATGGAATCGGCGTGGCTTTTGTCGAGTGTTTTTTTGCGTGAAAAAAATCCGCCAAAAATTTTGGCTATAGCATATCGGTTTTTGGGAGCGGGTACATTATGTTTTGGGGTTTTTGGCGAAACAATCGCATTTTCTAAAACGTTGACTTTGGATGAAATGTTACCGTTTGTAGATATTTCTGGTTAAAGTAAAGTTTAAAAAAAAAGAAATTTATATATTTTTTTGAATATATATATATATTTATTATATAGTCAAATTAAAATTCTATGGCAAACTGGATCCAAGAATTTAATATTTTATAGAATTTAATAGATTTTATATAGTTCAATTTTCAAAATGATTATTTCGACATCGTTTGATTCGTTTAAATCAGAAACCACTGATTGCACTTATTTTGGTATAGCCGAGAAGTGTTATTAAATGACCCATTTGAGCCGATTCCTAACCTCAATATTTTATCCATAAATATATTAAGCAAGGCTAAAGATTTTGCTCATAGATACAAGATAGACAAAGTTGTTATGACCATTGAGTTGGCCATTTTTAAAAATCGAGTTAAATTGAGCCTTAACAAGGAAGGAAGGACCTTCCTAGTTCTTTCTAATCGTTCTATTTATTAAAAGAATTACTGGAAAAAATATACAAAATATATATAATCAATATTTTTTTTAAATAATATGAGTTATTTTTCTTCCTTTCTTCCGGATTGTAATCATTTTTTTTTTGGAATGGCATCGGCCAGATGGAAAATATATAATAAAAATTTTAATTTCTTAAGAAGAAAACGAAAAAATATTAAATTCTTTTTAATTAATGAGCCAAAAAAAAAGAGTGAAGCAAGAGATGGACATTTTTAATTATTAAATATGGTATAAAATGTAACAATAAATATTTTTTACGATTAATTATAAAATATTTAATAAATTTTGGAAGAAAATATAAATTTTTTAAGTGCAACATTTCATCGAAAAGTAATTCATCTAATATTTAGACAAAAAATAAAAAGTATTGATGAGTGTTGGATTGGGAAATGATAAAATACTCGCGTAATTCAGATCAATATTTATATTAATTAAATAAATTTATATACAACTAGTACGATTAAATGTCTTTCGTTTGATATAAATTTATAAGAAAGGGTATATGGTAAATTATTTTTTAAAAAATGCTATTAATTTATTTGCGTCATTTTATCCGTTATTAAATACAAAAATATATTTGACCTAGAAAAGGTTTTTTATAACTGGTCATTTTATATGGCATATTGTGAGAAAAATAACCTTTATTGTGAGAAAAATAACCTTTCATTCAACATAACGTCACCAAAGAATTAAGCTATTCCATATGCACTTTTTTTTAGACTAAATCAAATTTTTATAATTACACTAGTTTACATAAAAAATACTAAATATTTATATAAGTTAAATTATATCCATTACAATCATATTGAAAATATAGAAGCTTGATTTTAAAAATTGCTATCCTGTAAATTTACAAGAAGTGGAGATGGAATAATATAATTATCAGGGGATTATATTATAAATTTGATATATAACCATTTTTCATTCAAAGTATTATAAATGTATATTAAGGTAAAAATAAGGGGGAAGGGAAATTACCTTCATTTTCAACTTCGACAGCTTCCTCGAATTTTTGCATATCACCAGGCAGGAGGTATCCTATAAACAGCTTATCGGCGTCTGATAGTTTTCTTTCACGCGCTGGCAGCTCGCAAAATGCGACGGATTTCTTCTGATTGGATAACTGGTAAATATTATGCAATAAGGATAAGAGTTCATTACCTACATTTATTAGATATTATTTAAAAATGATCAACAGCCCAATGTTTCTTATATATTTTCCTTTTTTTTCTAACCTTAGCATCAATGACGTCTTGATCGGTACCCAGGTCGGTTATATCGATCACTTTAGCCATTTGATTGACACCCTTTGAAGTATGGTTGACTAACGAGGGTTTAGGTGATGTTGATATAGAACTTACAGCAGGCCCATCTGAGGGTTTTCTACCAGATTCTTTGAGGAGGGTAACGGATGTAGCGATGTTTTCTAAATTTAGGAAAAATAAAAAAAAGAATACTTTTAAATAAATGAAAGATTAAAAAAAATTCTAACCGATTTAAAAAAAATTGGGATAGTTTTCTTTACAAGAATATACCATAGAATTGCTGTCATTTATTTTTCAGCAAGTTACAAGAATCAGACATAATATATAACAGTACTTCTGGCAGATTTATCTGACTATCTAATCTTAATCTTGGAGTCGAATTGTATAAATACATATATTGAAAACGAAAATAATTTAATCATCTTTTTTAAATACATTATTATTTACCAGAAATGCGTTTTTTATACCAAGGAACCAATAAAAACTGAACTCCTATGCCTATTAGTAAGCCAGAGCCTAGGGTTAATATGATGGAGCCATAAGTAGGTATTTGGTCTAACTTTAGAACTATATATGCAAATAAATTAATCAAAATAACGTATATTTTTTAAAAAAATAAATGTTACATAATGATATACCAATGATAAGAAGCCGAACTTATGAACCCATTCTAAATTCCCCCCCCCCTTTGTTTTACCATCATCAAAAATAATTATTTATGAATCATTGCATTGCGCCCAGCTTCAGTTCTTTTAAATTTAATGACTAAGGTTTACGCCAGAGATGCATCGATTCAATCGCTATTAATACTGGACCGCGATACCAGGGTGAAATAAAATTTTTCAATCATATTTTTTTTATAAAATTAATTTTTTATGCCAAAAAGGAATAAGTTAGCCTTGTTATCATAATAAAGAGAATGTAGCGCGAAATCTGTTAAAATTAATAATGGTTGCCAAAACGCGTGTTTTTTTTATAAAAATCAAGCAATTTTTCAAAATTAAGTTCCCGGAGGAAAATAATTAGGGAGGCATATTTTAGTACATTAAACATTCTTTTTCCTCGCGGAATTTGTAAATAAACCATGTTAAATTAGCAATATTGAATTGATCAAAAAGTATTTTATCACGTATTATCAAAAATTATATATATTTGTCCATTTGGACAGACCTTTCATCCAGATTAATAGACACTGCAAAATCGACGCTAGGCTTGACAAGAGGTGGCAACAAATCACACAAAGAACTATGGTGGTGGAATCAAGAGGTACAAACCACTATACAGGAGAAAAAAGCCCTTTATAAAATATGGTACAAATCCAAAAATGCAGATGACAAGTCAAGATACAAAAAATCCAAGAGATTAGCTACAAAGGCGGTGGCTAGGGCCAAATCTATGGCATACGATGACATGTACGAAGATCTACATACCAAAGAAGGGCAAAATAAAATATACAGATTAGCCAAACAGCGAGAAAAGAACTCTAGGGATATAAACGGAGCTCCGAAAGTAATCAAAAATAAAGATGGGAAATTGATAATAAAGGAAAAAGAAATAATGAATAGATGGAAAGAATATTTTCAGGAGCTTCTCAACTTTAATTCCCACATATTGCATCTCGACGAACACTCCCCTTGTCAGAACCTTGTACAACCTATAACAGAACAAGAAATAATCACATGCCTCAAGCATATGAAAAACAACAAAGCTAGGGGTCCAGACGATATTCCAATAGAAAGCCTTAAAGCACTAGGAGATGATGGAATACATCTCCTCACAAATCTGTACAATAAAATACTTGGAAATGAAGAGGTCCCCCAAAAATGGAGGCAGAGCTATCTAGTTCCTATCTTCAAAAATAAAGGGGATCCACACAATTGTCAAAATTACAGGGGCATAAAACTAATGTCACACTGTCTAAAACTATACGAAAAAATAATAGAAAAAAGATTAAGAGATATAATCGAAATAGGAGAGACACAGTTTGGCTTTATGCCTGGAAGATCAACAACCGATGCTATCCATGCAATTAGGCAAATGAGTGAAAAATACAGGGAAAAGAACAAAAAGCTACACATGGTCTTTCTCGATCTAGAAAAGGCCTTTGATAGAATCCCAAGAAAACTTATCTGGTGGGCGCTACGCCACAAAAAAGTTCCCGAAAAATATATAAGAATAATAGAGGATATGTATATGGGACATACAACAATGGTCCGTAGCACAACAGGTACTTCAGCAGGCTTTACAATAGCCGAAGGAGTTCATCAAGGGTCGGCTCTCAGCCCACTTCTCTTCATTACAGTAATAGATGTATTAGCACAGTCTATACCTCAAACAGTCCCGTGGAATATGATATTTGCAGATGATATTGTGATACTTGCCGAATCCAAGGATGAAATGAAAGAAAGGTTAGTGAATTGGATAAATATCCTAGAAACGCACGGATTAAAAGTAAATAGAGAAAAGACGGAGTATATGGTGATAGGAGGAGATGAAACGGAGAGTATTGATATAAATGATTGGCAGATATCCGCAATTGAAAGCTGCAAATATTTGGGCTCCACTATACAAACAAACGGCACAATAGAAAAAGAGATAAAGAATAAGATTAATCAAGGGTGGTTAAAGTGGAGATCTTTATCTGGAGTGCTATTTGACAAAAGAATCCCACACAAATTAAAGGGAAAAATTTACAGTTCCATAGTACAACCAACTATTCTATATAGTTCGGAAACATGGCCAACCAAAGAATCAGACGAGAGAAGTCTACAAACTATGGAGATGAGAATGCTGAGGATGATTGCTGGGGTAACAAGAAAGGATAAGGTGCGCAGTACAAGAATACTAAATAGTTTAAAGGTAGTGCCCATTAAGACTAAGTTAATGGTAAACAGACTTAGGTGGTATGGGCACACAATGAGAAGGCCTATGAACTACATAGGAAATAAAGTTGAAAGATTGGAAGTGATGGGCAAACGTAAAAGAGGAAGGCCAAAACTTCAATGGGGCCATAAAGTTAGAGCCAATATAAAGAAGTATAAAATAGATAAAAGAGATTGTACGAATAACATAAAGTGGAGAGAGATGTTGAAGGAGCTTACCACCAGAAAAGGTGAAAGCTAAAGAGAAAAAAAAAAAATATATATATTTGTCCATTTCTAATTTTATAATACATTCTGAGTGTATATATACTTTATGTTTAAATTTTAGCGCTAACAGTATTTGACTATTTTTATTATATCAATATTTGCGATAAACTACAAATAAATTTATCATAATATCAATAAAATATTCAATCAATATTTATTAAACAGAAATAATCATCACTATTTTTTATATATATATCCTTAAATTTTAACAACAAATATGATAAAATCATTTTACAATAAGGATATAGGAAAAAAGGTTAAAAAAAGGGTTCAGGTTTGGGTTGAGTGAAAATCTTTGAACCCGATTGGGGTTCAGGAAATTTTTAATTTAAATAAAATGAACACACTAATACGATTCCACGAAATAGGATTTTCACAAAAAATGTTTCTAATATTGAAAACAAAAAAAAACAATGATGTTTTTAATATTTAATATGTTTTTAAAATAAAATAAAGAAATTTTAATAAAATAAATAAATAAAGAATAAAATAAATGAAATTATTTTTAAAATTCTTGAACCCTGAACCCTACATTTAAAAGAGGGTTCGTGGTTAAATAAAACATCAGGGTTCAAAGGGTTTTGGTTAAGGTCCGAGTTCACAGTCCTGCTTAGTATCGATTCGATACACCCCACATTCCTATTTGAGATAAGAACGATAAGTAAGCAATATTTATATTAGTACTGTAATTATCAAACCTTTGGGTCCGTTATAAAATATGGAAAATAAGTTGACAGCGCAAGTGATAGCGTAGATGTAAGGTAATACTCGAAGGCCGGCTTTTAATGAATCGTTCTTATTATATATTTAATATAAGAATGTAGCCAATTTTTTTTTACTAATTTAATAATATCTTTCTTTTATCTACATTAAGAATATAGCTTTGAACTGAAAGACTTATAATTAAGTTACAATAATGCATCTCTTGAATTCCTAATTGCATAATATAGTTGTTGGTATAGTTTTTTTTAAAAATAAAAATAGTAGTATTATTATTACCTCTTCAATCTTTCTTCTCCTAAGTTTTAAGAAATAATTATATCCATAAAAAAAAAATATGTTAAAATAATTTAAAATATATAAAAAAGCGTCAAATTTACAAACAAACTCTATTTAGGACGAATTTTCGGATCAAAAGGAATATGGATCCAGATATAATCCCTGAAAATAGTGGGGAAACGAACCACGAAGCAACTTTTATAAAAAAAAATTAATTGGAACATATTATTAGAATAGTAAATGAAATAATATAGTGGTAGTTGGCATATATAATTAAGAAGCTTCCACGATATTCCAGAGTTTTAAACCTGGTGAATAACGGTTCTAAATATTTTTTCCTAAAAAAGTTTCTAACTTCCGGTTCCTAGTTACTGGTTATATTGGTTTAGAGGATTTCCGATTCAAAACTCTATATCAAAAGAATAAGGATCCAAAGAGCACATGGATCAACACGATAATATAAACATAGATAAGTATATATATATATTAATTTGCAAGGACTAACCAATGTACCCCAGTTTTTCCCAATGAATTCCTTCGTGGCCCTTAGCAACTAAGGAAAATCCAAGGGTGGAACCCACGATGCTGTGAGAGGCCGAAACGGGCAGTTTTAAAAAAGTAGCCAATATAAGCCACACGGCGCTACCTGGGGTAAAATTAAAAGAATATTATATTTATTTCTTTGTTAGTAAACGAAATGTAAAAAAAATTAATAAATTATCTCCCATTTATTTATAAGCAAACACACTGTTATATTGACAATTTATTTACAAATTATAATTTATCAGGATCCTACTATCTAGCTGACATAATATCAGAGAGAATTTAGACCTACAAACCCAGTCCTTACTCCAAAGTCGTTTCGTTTAAACGATTTAAAGGTCATAAACTCGTTTTTAGTCCAAAAAAAGACCAAAAATTATAATAAATAGGCAAAATTAGATTTCAATTATTTACAAATTCAAATTTGGCAAATAAATATTAATTATTGACTGACCGCTTTTTTGGGCTAATTCTTATATTTATTACAGAAACCTGCAGCCCGGGTACACGGGCCGGGCCGTATTTTAATTTTTTTAAATATACTTGAGCTTGACCTAAAAAAAAATTTTTTTTAAATACCCGGGCAGGGCTGTATATTTTAAGAACAAATGTTTTAAATCGTCATTATTAGCTATAAAAATATATAATATATTTTTTTAAAAACCCAGGTCGGACCTAAATCTAGGCCGGGCCGCGCAAAAGGTAACTCTGCAGGTCTCTGATTTATTACATTGTTAAATATGCTATGCTAATAAATTTAAAATATTTAGAAAATAAATTTTTTTTTTTATAAGATCCGATGAAAAAATTGAAATTTAATCTACTTCTATAAAAATAAACGAATCTTTTCTATGTCAAAAATAGCAAGAAAGAGGAGATTTTTGACTGATACTAGTGTTTTTAAACCCCTCGATTTCATCAATTTTGAATTAAGATTTTAACCAAAATAATATTATGCAAAGCCTCAAAATTTTGTTAATAAATGTCCACTTAATTAGATAGTATATCGATTTCGATTAAAATAAAATTTTAACTTCGATAAATTTTTTTTTAAACCCATAAGAGCCGATATTTCGCCGGCGATTAACAAGCGTTCCGATCCGTTGTAAATATCCACATCTATTATACCTTTGCGTATGGTGTTGGATACTTGGCCTCCTGTAATAATTATAAATAAAAAGAGGGACTGTTACGATATTTATTTTTAAATATTTCAATAAAAAAGAGTGGGAAATTCGGAGTTGTTAAACTCTAATTTTAAAAATAGCGCGCTACAGCTATCTCTACCCATCAAAAAAAGTAGTGCGCTATTAGCTACTATTTTTTAAATAATTATTAAAAAAAATTTTTTAAATAATTATTAAAAAAAATTTTTTTAAAAATTTGTTTTATTTTTTGCTTATAATGTAATTCTATAGTATATAATACATAAATATCAAAATTTATAAATATTTAAAATATAGTTATTTATTGATTATAAAAAATTTTTATGTAAAATTAATGTAATTTATTTTGTTGCATTTTAATAATAAAATCCTTTCTACACACTATCATCCCCAACCCCAAGTCTAAAGCGACGATCAGAAAGTATAAGTTTCGCCTTAAAAAATAATCTCTCAACACTAGCACTTGAGGGAAAGTCATTATTTAATTTTATAAACATATTTTTTAATAGAAAAATTATCTAAAATATTGATTTAAAAAACGCATCTAAACGATTTTCTATTATATTCCTTTATTTTAAAAAAATTATCAGTGGAAGTAGTTTTTGTAGTTCTAACTAGGGCTTCTTTGTTTGGTATGAGACTATTCAGTTTTACCATGAGCTTATCACATTGATCTTTAGCATCACCGATTAGAGCATCTTTCATCACTTCAAAGTCATCTGCTATCTTAATCGTTAGTGTCTGGCGACAAGAAATTATTGCATCCAGGGACTAGTTTTAATCATCATGGTAAATGATGGACTGTCAACTGGAACTGTATTAATTATAAAATTGACAATGACTTTTATAAGCCAGTTTCTGAGAAATATTGGCATGTGCAATATTATTAATCAATTTAGTTTGAATTTATTTCAGTCTTTTTGAATGTAGCCTCCCCTGTACCAAAATTATTAAGATGTTTTTCTATCTCTTTAATGTTGGCATGAACATTCTTACAAAATAAAAATGCTATTAGAATTTAAAAATGACAATTACCTTTAGGTGTTTTTTGAGGTTATAGATACTAGATTTATCTGAGGATATATTTTTTTTCTATATTTTAAACAAATTTGTAACCACTTTTTGTTTATACATTAATTTGAAAATATTTTTCAAATTTTGGATATAGAAAATTTATATTATTTGTTATCAATAACATTTTCTTCCAGGGTACCTTCCACTTCGTTAATATTATCATTGTCTGCCTCACTTACATCGATTTCGACATCCATTTGCGATGACATTTTAAATAATTTACAACAGATGATTTAGGTTTATAATACAAATTGAAAATATAAATTTCAAAATTAAAAATAAACCATAAAAATTATAATTAATTACATTATATTTAAATTTTCATGCTTATAGTTACATTCATTATATTTTTGCTATATTTTGCTACTTTCAAAAAAAGGAACGCGCTAAAAAAAAATAATTGGGAAAAAAGTAGCGCGCTATTGGCTACGCTAACAAAAAAAGATAGCGCGTTACTTTACCAACTCTGGGAAATTCTACTTCCGGTTCTCATTTTGACATATATCTTCGGGTTAATATTATAGTGTTCTATATATTCATTTTTTAAAATATTTTTAAGGAGAGCATTTTTATAAAAACAGACTACACAATAATAAATGCAAATAAGTGATTATTCTAAATTTTATATATTTTAACATTTTATTGGTCATATGGATACTCCAACGACGATATGTCGGAGTAAAACTAGCGAATTATTCGTTATCGAATCAAATATGAGTGTAAGGAAAATATAATGTTCGTCAAATAATTTTTCTTTATCCATTATTCGGTCGGATAATTTATACAATTTAAAAACGAATATCATTTTTCAGCAAGTTCCGGGCCGAGTATACGGGTTCGGGCCCACAGTCCCCTCTAAATGTAATATTTCCCTCAATTTAATTAGGTACTATCATTTAAAAAGGGGAATTCAATTTATTAAATCATCGAAGAAACGACAATATTAAATACGTTACGTCGATCAAAGATCTTAACAAAAATTTGGACATTGTTTTAAGTTTAATTAAGAGTCTTTTTCTAGCAGAAAAAAAATGAATTATTAGTGGTCGTTATAATTTAAAAAAATCAAAATAAATTATCAAATATCATATTCAAAACTCAATGTAATGGAGGGGGAAAAGCGTATTATTTATAAATACGCGTTTATAAAATTCTAATTTAGCCTGAAGTTTAATTACTTAAACATATTTTATAATATATTCGGAAAAAAACAACATGTAATATGACAGGTAAAAAAATTATGATATAAATTATTTATAAAATTTAATTTGTAGAAAATCCTCTAGGTAATTATAATCTAATTAAATATTTCATAATTAGAGGGAAAAAAATTCGCAAAATTAAAACGGGTCGGGCCTAACCGGATATCAAATTTCGGCTAAGTTTTTAACCGATCTCTCAGGCATTAAAGTTCTATTTTGTTTGCGAATCGATACAGAATAATAAATAAAAATTTCACGTATTATTTGGAAATTTGGAAATCATTTGTAAAATATTCGTAATTAATTTTATTTAAAAAAAACTGCTATTGTCAATCAAATATTCTATTTTCTGGTACTTTATAAGCTGAGCAAATTTTCAAAAACGTATATGAATGCAGGGGCGAACTCGGTAAAAATGTTATGGTTCGTTCGGATTTTTTAATATTTAAAAAAAAGAGTTCGTTAGAGTACAGAAATTTTTTTTTAAACCCCAGGTTTTCTTCTCTGAGTTCGGTTCAAAGCCTTGTTTGAATGTAAATACAAATACGTTTTAAAAAATGTATTTTAAATATAAATACTATACATTTTTCGCAAATAAATACTTTGACGAATGCTTCTCAATTTTTTTATTAACCATTTTCTAAAATACTCAAATTTATATTTCATCTGCAGTAATATGTAGCATCAATATTTTTATCGTTGCGGCGGTAGCATATCATATAATGCAAAAATTGTAAATATAACTAATATTATATCACCATTTTAGAATACATGAATAAATTGCTGGAGGATAAAATCGCTCCATTTAAGATTTCCGTTTTATTTTCAGTTTGTGCATATTTTTGAGAAAATTTACACCCAAAATTGTCAGAGTACATTTAGATATGTTGGCGTTATCACATATAGCGTTGTTAAATGGCTCTATTTGAGCCGATTTTTAAAAAACGGCTCACTCTAATGTAAACAATATTCGGTTAATCTAATCAAAATCCTTTTCCCCCCCACCAGATATTTCATGTTCTTGCATTAAAAGGAATATCATTCAGGGTGTAGAAAATAAGAATATTTTCTAAAAAAAAATCATTGATTTAAATAAAATTTTTATTATAACTAAAGATAATAATTATGAAAATTCATCATTTACAAATCATTACATTTTATTACAAGCACCTTTTTTAAAAATATTATTTAAACTTATTTCAGCAGTTTAATAAGTTAAAATTATTTAATGCAGCAAAATTTGGAATACTTCGCCGCAAATTTGAGCTAAATGTGAATGACATGGTTACCCCTTAAACAATTAGAGTAAATCAAAATATGTTACGAGAAGCGTATCAATGAGTTAAAACATTTACTAAATAAGAATTTATGCTAATAATATTTCTCATTTTTAACAACATGTTTGATGTATTATCCATAGTTTAAAATTGAGATCTTTTCATGTAAACTTAATTTTCTTATATTTGTAAAATGTTTAAAATTTACTTTGCTTCTTTTAAAACAAACATGAAAGTATTACTATTTAATACGAATAAAAAAAATATCACATAAATGAGATGCTATAAAAATTTTATTCATAAATCCCCTTACGTTTTAATGCTTTGATTATTTAAAATATAACCCCTTTTAATAATCTGATTTAAATATAAAAAAAATCCAATTTTTTGATATTTTTTTTAAAAAATTAATGATTTAAATACATCCTGCTGGATGTCATTAAAATATTCTATCCAAAAAATTGGCAAAAGAAAAGGAAAACCTATAAGAACCGCTCCTAACGTTTCGAATATAGTCGCTATAACGCACGCTTGGAATATGGTGAGAACTTTCGACCCCACGCTAGTGCCGAAGCTGTTTGCCACGTCATTGGCACCTATCCCAAAGGCCAATATCATCGCTATGACGAAGCCCAGAATTACTGCCCATAGATAATCCATCTATTAAATTTCTATTCGGTTTTTATAAGGGAGAGGAAAGATGTAATAATGGATGCTGTATGTGTTGTAAATTGTTAGGCTGTGCAATCAATCCCAATTTCTGAATGAAAAATATTGTTCCTTGGAAGATGAATCGGAATTTTGACTTGGTCTTTATTTTATGACGAAAAATTTAATTTTTTTTAAGGAATGAGAAGGAAAAAAGTGGGATGAAATTGGACGGAAGGATATTATGTGACATTTTTCTTTATTATCATTATGAGATAATGGTTTACCTTTCCAAGTAATATCATTAGAAACAGCGGCGAAAAAATGCGATGCGCAAAATCGGGTTGCCAAATATATCCGTAGAAATATGTAAATCAAAGCGTGTATATATCAAATATACAATCAATAATCAAAATATTTTTGTTTTATTCCTCTCATTATTTCATAATAATATTAAAAGACAAGTAAAATTTGATTAAGTTTTATAAAAAAATAATATAATTTTGATATTTAATTTTTGTTTTTTCTCTTTTATTAATCTCTATAAAGTTTTAAAATATTTTTTTTTTATGAAAAGCACCAATATAAAATAATTTTTTTTCTAAAAAAAATAAATAAACAAAGATAGGTTAACTTATAATATAGTATAAATATTTTCTAAAACAAAAATTGAGCAATTTGAAATGACATTGGTGACTATTATGTTTGTGTGAATTTGAACTTTAAGCTGTGGATTTGGAGATTGTTAGCCACATTTTTTTTCTGAGCAAATTATTTGAATATATAAAATGAAAGTCCGAGATTAATATATTTTTTTGTCATACAATCGAAATTGGTTGGTTGGGGTGTAGGATGGGCTTTGTAGTTTATAACTTAATCTGTTTAAAAAAAAAATTATATTTAAATTGTTGCTAAAAGGTTGTGGAATTATAAAAATGTATTTGAAAGGTCATAAAAAAAAATTTTTTTTAAAAAAACATAAATTAATAATGTAGCACATTTAAAATATGCTTTTTTAAAAATAATAATTTTATAAATTATTGATTTTAATATATAAATTTTTTGTATAAAAAAGATTTGGGATATTAAACTATATTGTATAAATATATCCTAACATTCTATTGTTATTTAATAAAATTAAAATTGATCAAAAACTAATCCTTGATGAAAATTAAATATTTATAATGCTTACATAATTCAGGGTTGCGAACCAAACTTATACTGAAGTAGCAAACCCTGGTTGTAAAATTTTTTTTATTTCTGAACCGAAACTGAAACATGTAAATAATATTAATATAAGCCTCAAAATAGGTTCAGTCATATAATCAGATAGTTGTAAATGCCAGTTAAAGGTTGACTTAGCCTACAGACTGGGCAAAAAATTTTCAAACTTGAGCCGATTTTTAAAACGGGCTAATTCAATTTTTATCCAGAAAAATATTGCTTACACTTTGAGATTTTGCTAATAAATGTCCAATTTGTGACATCTATGAGCAGAATCTTCAGACTTGCCTAATATTTTTCTGGATAAAATATAGAGTTAGCTGTTTTTAAAAATAGGCTCAAATCGGCCGTTTAACAACACTAATTGGCAACTTGTGCAAAATATTATGTCAGGCAGGCATGTTAAATCGATCACGATTATCTTGACACCTTAAGATTTGGGTTAAATTTCATATATAAACTAAGGTTTAAAAAAAACTAAACTTTATCATCCTACCTCTTAAGTTTTGTGGGATATCAAGGGTCAGCATATATAAAAAATGATTCAAATTAGAATTCCAAGTTCTTGCTTTCATTAGGAATCAATAATCCCATCAAAAAAACAAGAGATATCTTTTTATTCAACAGATAATTTTAATTTTTTTAAAAATATATTTATATATTTTGTAGTGAAGAATCTATAAAAGGAATATTGTTGCAAAATTTTAAATTTTACAAAAATATTCAGAACTTGTATGGTTTGAAAAATATATTTGTGCCTCTACTAATTTTATATTTAAAAATTATATATGATCTTCCCTTGTTATATTTATATGTAAAATATTTATTAGATATATTTAGTTAAATTATATGTAATTAACTGTTTTTAAATAATTTCTCAGGATTAAAAATATTATACAAATATGTGATATAGAATCTAAACAAAAATAATATTTGAATATAGAACTAATTGCATATTATGCTTAAAAATAATTATTTACTTTCAGTATGTTTTTTTTAATTCGAAAACTTGACATTCTAGATCTTTTTAATACAAATATAGATTGGTTTTAGTGACATTTACTTATGATTTTTAAAAAATCCGAATTTTAGAAAGGATTTAAACTTTACAATGGAATTAAATGGGCCGCCACATTAAAAAAAAATTTTTTTTTTAAATTGAATGCATATAGGGGAGACCGGGGTTATATTGTCCATAAAAAATTGAGAGGCTGTGAAAAGGAGGAGAAATAATTTATCAAAATAATTTTGATGTTATTTTATTCTTTATATAATTATCTACGGTAGAAATTAATATCTAATAAAAAAATATTATATATTTTTTTAAATTTAAATTTTAAAAAAATGAAAATTTTTGAGTCATGAAAAAGAGACGGGGGACGTATTATCCTTTTGTGGGGCATGTTTTAGACTATCATTTTCTAAGCATTTTATTCATTTTTTTTCATACAAAAATCATAACAAACATATAATATTAACATACAACACATTTATTACATATAAAAAATGGATTAAAATCACAACATGATCCAGCCCATAAATGACAATTACGGCATTGGAACCAATCTTCATTATGGTGGTGAGTTTGATAGTTTTTGTGGCACACTGAACAAAATTTTTTTTTGCCAGCATTCATATTTAAACTTTTTTTATTATTGGTTTGATTTTTTTTCCAGATTATTAGTCATAGATCTGGCATTTTTCTGTAAGGTGAAGAGGTTAAAATGGCTGAAGTCATTTGATTACATGTTGTTTTTTTAAATATTGTTGGATGGGGACTAATAATTTCTGGAGCAAAATCTTTTTCCACGTGAGAAGATGATGGAACAGGACTATCACTGACAGATGGTTGCTAAATAATTTCAGATAAATTTAAATTCTCATTTAGGATCGTTATTATTATTATAATATAAAGGATTATAATTTTCGTCATTAAAAATTAAAGTATTTAGGGGCCATATACCTGAGGATTCAAAACCCTTTTGAATATTTGAAGCTGAGGTGGCTTTTGGAAGGACATCCTTTCCTACTCTAGGGATATCATATATAGTAAAACTTTTCCCTGGATGCATTCTAATCCAAGGCACTGTTGTAATATTTTTTTAGAGGTTCAAAAACAGTTCTATCCAATGTGGCTATACTTGTAGCCTCTGGTGTTCTCAAAGAAATAGTTGGATTTCTTTTAATAAATGCTCCAAACCAGTCTTCACCAGCTGATTGAGTTATTTCCCAAGATTTTGGTACTTGTAAACTATACCTCTTGGCCATTTGATAAGCTAAAACTCTAACCTAAATTTAAACATAAGACATTAAATTATTTATATATTAAGGCAATTTAATTAAAATTCTAATTCTTAAATTTTATTCTGAATTTATTTTATAATTAATAAATAAAATATATCATACATAATTAAACCTCTAATGTATAGGTAAGAACCAAAATATGTTTTAATGCATGATATAATTTATGCTAAATCAATGAATAAATCATTTTAAAATTAATATACATGCAGCATCATTTTATTTTAAATATATATCATACACACATAATTAAATCTTTAATATATAGGTAAGATATGATTTAATGCATGATATAATATATATAATGCTACAATTAATAAATCATTTTAAAATTAATATTAATACATGGCAGCATCATTTTAAAATTAATATATATACATGGCAGCATCATTTTATACATAAATGGCAGCATCATTTTATTTACATATATATCATACACACTTAAATAAATATCATTCTAATGTATAAGTTAAATTCTTACTTTAAAGTATTTTATAACATATAATGTTAATAATTTTAAAAAATTTTCTCAAGTTTATTATTATTTAACTAAAGAAATACCATGGCATAAATTTAAAGATTATAAAAAAATTCATTTTACAGAGATATATGATATAACAAAGGATTAAAATACTTATTTAGGGCATAATCCTTAAAATAATCTTGATCCTTTAATTAAATAATCTGTTAATTTAGCTTCTTGAATAGGAGAAAATACTGATCTGTGAAGATATAGCTCTTGAAAATCTTCATTCCTTTTGAACAATTTATTATACCTCTTAATGCTTAGTTTCTTAAATATATACTATTTAAATATATAATTATACCTCCCATAACTTAAATTCGTATTCATGGTTATAACTGTCAAAGGTATCTTATCTTTCAGCATTTGAAGAATACTTACCTTTTGATTATCATTATTTTCTTTGTTAGTTTTTCTAATATATGTTCGAACCATTTTACAAAATCAGAACCAATATTTTAATGAATGTATGTAAAAGGAAAAGACGCACCCCGCTAATACCTTCCCCAGGTCCACAGGATCATTTAAAAATTAAATTAATATTAAATTAACATAATGATCGTCAATATTTTTATATATGATAAAATGGAGATTTTTTTATCATTTAGAATTTATATTAAGTCTGAACAACTTTTATAAAAAAAGTTATTCGTGAAAATGTAAAATTTAAAAAAGTTACTTTGGGTATGTTGAAACTTAAATTTGCATTTAAAATTTTTCATGAGCAATTTTGTCCGAAACAATTTTGAACCTACTTAAGCACCTTATTATAATACATATTTGGCTTAAATTTCAAATCTTAAACTTTATAAATTTTTAAATTATTTGAGAAGGAAATACCTACCCCGGGAACACACTATCCCCGGTCTCCCCTACATTTATTGAAATTAGAATCACGATTTTGGTAAATCTTTAATTGAATGGTAATCATTAAGGGTAAAAGTGTTATTAAACGGCTGGTTTTGAGGTGATTTTTTAAAACGGCTAACTCACTATTTTGGCTAGAAAAATATTGCCTAAGCCTCGAGATTTCGATAATATATGTCTAAACCTTTGTTCCTTCTATGAGAAAAATCTCCAGGCTTGTAAAATATTTTTCTGGATGAAATATTGAATTAGCCGTTTTTAAAAATAGGCTCAAAACGAGCGGTTTAACAACAATAGTAAAAATAGGTCATAATTTTATATTTCGCCATTAATATCTCGAAAAATATATGAACTAGGATATTAAAATTTGAACACTGCTTTATTTAAGTGCACATTAGTTTGTATATAAAATTTCACCCAAATCCCAAGAAGTCCCATAAAAATATGGGGGTTTTTATCGTTTTGACATGGGGTCGATCATTCTATTTCAACTGTGCAAGAAAATAGAGATTTTCTGCCGATCCCCTTCAATTTCGATATAAATTTGTGGGCAAGCTATATATGTGCTAGTATCTGAAGCA